TATTTTTTTTTCTTCCCTCACAACTGCTTCCCCCACCTATCTGAATTGATTCTAAAGTATGTAGGCTATATTTGGGGAAAGTATGGGAGCATTTCAACAAGATTTAGATAGTGAAAGGAAATAAGAAAGAATGTGGTTTCATGTTTAGAGTCATATTTTCACCCTTTCAAGCTCCAGCTCCCCCAAACCATCAGAAAACTGCTTCGGAGCAGGGGATATATATTCTGCCATATGTTAACTATGTATAAGAAAGGCTCAGATGTTGAGATTTGGTAGCAAAGTATACAGAAAAGTCAACAATATCATGTTGCGAGATATTTCATGCATTCAACCTCATTTCTCCACCATGCACCAAAATTCTTTTCCAAAGTAAACTTGAACCTATTTTACAACAGTTATAGTATGCTGGAAAGATGTATTGAGAAGCTATAACAGTACAGCTCATTTTTTTCCCCCACAACTCCGGCGGGGCATTTCATTGACTCCGTCGGGGCATGTAAAATTAAATATGTTGACTCCTGCAAAGCATTCAATACACTCTGATGGGGAATATAAAATTTGAATTGGGTGGGAGACAGTTGATTGACTTTCATGGGGTATTTAATTCACCCCATTGAGGCATTTAAAATTAAATATGTTAACTTCTGCAGGGCAGTTTATTCACTCCGACGGAGCATTTTATTGACCCCATCGGCGAATTTAAAATCAAATATTTTGACCCCGCAGCAATTTAATTCACCCTGATGGAGCATTTTATTTACGCCGTCGGGGCTTTTAAAATTAAATATGTTAACTCCCGCGGGGCAGTTTATTCACTCCGACGGGGCATTTTATTAACCCCGTCAGCGAATTTAAAATCAAATATTTTGACCCCGCGGCGATTTAATTCACCCCGACGGAGCATTTTATTTACACCGTCGGGGCTTTTAAAATTAAATATGTTAACTCCTGTGGGGCAGTTTATTCACTCCGACGGGGCATTTTATTGACCCTGTCGGCGAATTTAAAATCAAAAATGTTGACCCCGCGGCCATTTAATTCACTCCGACAGGGCATTTTATTCATGCTGTCAGGGCATATAAAATTAAATATGTTCTCTCACAGGGCACTCCGACAGGGCATTTTATTCACTCTGTCATGAAATTTAGAGTCAAATATGTTGACCCCCGCGGCGCATGT